AGATAAGCTGCAGCGAGAAATTTTGTCATATGCAAGAAAGCATAAATGAAGTCGCCGAGAATTCAAATAATTTTTGGGTTGTATTGTGTTGTAAAATAAATTTGTTAATTCTGATTATATTTTTATATTTTATATATTTTTTATATATATTTTATATATATATATATATATGTGAGGTATATGTGTGTGTAATGTGTATGTGTATGTGTGTGTGTAACATTTTTACAGTTGGCAATGGTATCGCTTTTTGAGATTGAACAACCCTGTATCCTTGCAAATCTAAAATGTCAGGGATTTGAAAAAAATAACAAGCGCCTTTGGTATCCCTGGGCGTAGCACAATACAACATGGTTCCAGAGGAAATAAGAAGAGAAATAGACATAAAGAAGTTTAAAACAAAAATGATGTGTTGGATGCGGAGTCGCGGAACGACGACATAGAACATAGTAAACCAACAAGCCTGCTCAAAATACCGGTTCCAAGGAGCGTACCGAAAGAACCGAACCTGAGGGGCATACACATATAAATACTAATAAAAATGTATAAAAAATATTGTAAAAATTAATATTAGAGCCAGGAGCGTACCGAAAGAACCGAACCTGAGGGGCATACACATATAAATACTAATAAAAATGTATAAAAAATATTGTAAAAATTGTATATAAATAAAATGCTAAATAAGATTTGTTAATTGTTTCAAGTACTTGCATCGTTATTTTCAACAACTACTTGACAAGTTGCTTGATAGGTGTTGCGTACTCACAGCTTTCCTGCGAATATTTTACTTTTGACAAGTTATATCAGTTAAGCAACTTATGATGAGGACAGTATTTGAATTGATGATTAACATAACATTTACCAACTCAAATCTGGCTTCGATTAGTCCGGATTCATTGGAGAACATTTTAAAAATTTCAAATCGAACTAATTTTTATTTGACGACAAAATATTATTTCTTCATAAATCATTGTTTTGTTTCGCTTTGCCTGTGTGCTACTTAGTTCCTCGATTAAGTCTGGTTTCAAACAATCCAGGATATTGGTGATTACCCGGACTATGCGAGGTAGTGTTGAATTGAAATTGATTTAACAAATGCAATATTATTATTTGAATAGTTGCTCGAAATACTTAATCAATGTTTATAATCATAAATATATGTTTATAAGATCGTAATATAAATTAAGTAGCTATTAATAATTAATTAGTAATCAAGTGAAGTTAACGTACATTTGTCAAGTTCGGTAATCCGCAGAAGAACGACACGATGCAGATGATGAAGACCAGAACTTCGTGGCACATCAACTTCTTCTTGATCCAAACTGGGAATCCGTCCTGTATAGACGTGACGACGACCTCGACTATAGCGAATTGACTGTTCAGCGCCAAACAGAGCAGCATGAAGAAGAAAAGCACGGACCAGAATTGAGCTGCGGGCATCTTCGCCATGGCTTGTGGAAACACCACGAAGATCAGCCCTGGACCATCGGCGATCACTTCTTCGATCTTATCGTTCTGCTCGAACGCTATGTTTCCTATAGTGGCGAAAGCGAAGATTCCCACCAGGAGACTGGTGATCGCGTTCACGAACGAGACGGCGATGGTGTCGTGCAGGATGTTGTTGTTGTACTTGTTGTAGCTGGCGAAGCAGATCATCGAACCGAACGAGATGCCCATCGAGTTGAAAGTTTGCGCGCACGCATTGATCCACACCTTCCAACAATAACAATCGATTAGTTTATTAGAGTAAAAGATGTTTGTTAAAGACTTACTTTAGCGTCTCCCAACATCTTCCAGTTCGGTCTGAAGAAGTACCGCATCCCCTCGTTGGCTCCCTCCAGCGTCAACGATTTAGCCATGAGTATTATGATCAAAAGAAACGGTAGAGTCGCCGTGAAATATCTCACTTTAGCCGAAGACTTGATGCTCTTCCAAATCGCAAAGTAAACTAACACCCAAGCGCACAGCAAACACGCGACCAGCTCGGATCGAAGATAACCAAAATCTTCTATCCCGTGCGAAACTTTAAGAACTTTAACGCTGCAACAAATCAACATCATATCATTTCCAATCATCTCTCTATTAATATAGTTTAACTAACTTGTAGAATTCTTCAGCCGGTGATTGACTGTTCAACGGTCTGGACATGTTGAAGCCGCTCCGCGAAGGAATCCAACAGCTGTTCGTGTTCCACGTGTTGTTGCAATCCATCCACGGTTGATCCACTTTGAACGAGGTGAAGAAGTAGAAGATGCCGTACGCTATGATCACGCTGTAGTACGTCGACATCAGGAACGAAATCACGACGCTCGCCACACCGGTTCCTGCATATTCGTCATTCAATTAATCAAAATTTGACAGATGTCAACTTCAAAATTTGGCAGATGTCAAAATTTGACAGATGTCAATGTCAAAAAAAGAAATTGTTGATAATTTGTTACCTTTAAATAGTGGACACAGTTGACCCAACGCTCCGATGGGTCCTCGCCCGGTGAATTGACCGACAGCTAATTCCATGTAGAGCATCGGCACTCCGCAAATGATCATGATGATCAGATATGGAATGAGAAAGACTCCTGCACGAAATAGAAAAGGTTAATATTATTATTATTATTTGACGTTTAATTTTTAGGTTATAAATGTAGAGATTTTGTTTGTTTTTTTTCTTTTTCAAGGTTGGTGACTGTTCCGAAATATGTATGATCTAAGTTGTCAATGTCAATTGTCAAGTTATTGTTTGTTTTTGGGTTACGCTTTTTTAGTGCAAAATTATGGTGAAAATCAAGGAAAATTGGTGAGTCAATACGTAATAGATTAATGTATATTCATTTAGTTGGAGTTTGGAAACAAGATAAATAATTTGACATTATCAATACGTTTTAGGTTAGAATTATTTTAGGTTGGCAACAAGTCTGAAAATGAAGTTACTCTGATGGTAACATAACAAAATTTTCAATTTTTTTGTTTGCTTTTAAGGTTATGTTTATTCAGTGCGAAATTATAGTAAATAGGTAAATCAATACGTATTAAATCAGTTCTCTGATATTTCAATTAACTTTTACATTAGAATCATTTGATGTGAAGATTTTTTTTTTATTTCAGGTTGGTAGAAATTCAGAAATTCGTTTGCTGTTTATCACACATATAATTTTTCTTTAAACAGTTTAAACAGCAAATGATCATGATGATCAGGTATGGAATGAGAAAGACTCCTGCACGAAATAGAATACAAATTGAAAAACTTAATATTATTATTTGACGGTTAATTTCTAGGTTATAAATGTAGACATTTTGTTTTTTTTCTTCTTCAAGGTTGGCGACTGTTCCGAAATATGTACGATAATGTTATCAAAGTTGGCAATTTCAATTGTCAAATTATTGTTTTTTTTTGGGTTACGTTTATTTAGTGCAAAATTATGTTAAAAATCAAGGAAAATTGGTGAGTCAATACGTAATAGATTAATATAAATTCATTTAGTTTGAATTTGGAAACAGGTTAAATAATTTGACATTATCAATACGTTTTAGGTTAGAATTATTTTAGGTTGGCGACTAGTCAGAAAATGAAGTTGCTCTGATGGCAACATAACAAAATTTTCAAACAGCTGACTGTTTTATTTGTCAATTTTTATGGGTTATGTTTATTCAGTGCGAAATTATAGTGAAAGTCTCCGAAAATAGGTACATCAATACGTATTAATTTATTCTTTGAAATTTCAATTAACTTATAGGTTAGAATCATTTGATGTGAAGATATTTTTTTTATTTCAGGTTGGTAGAAATTCAGAAATTCGTTTGCTGTTTATCACATATATTTTTTCTTTAAACAGTTTAAACAGCAAATGGTCATGATGATCAGGTATGGAATGAGAAATAGAATACAAATTGAAAAGGTTAATATTATTATTATTTGACGTTTAATTTTTAGGTTATAAATGTAGAGATTTTGTTTTTTTTTCTTCTTCAAGGTTGGCGACTGTTCCGAAATATGTATGATAATGTTATCAAAGTTGACAATTTCAATTGTCAAATTATTGTTTCTTTTTTGGGTTACGTTTATTTAGTGCAAAATTACGGAAAAAAACAAGGAAAATTGGTGAGTCAATAAGTAATAGATTAATATAAATTCATTTAGTTGAAATTTTGAAACAGGTTAAATAATTTGACATCATCTATACGTTTTAGGTTGGCGACAATTGAGAAATTGATTTGCTCTGATGGTAACATAACAAAATTTTATTTGTCAATTTTTTTGTTTACTTTTAGGGTTATGTAGCAAATAATCATGATGATCAGGTATGGAATGAGAAAGACTCCTGCACGAATTAGAATACAAATTGAAAAGGTTAATATTATTATTATTTGACGTTTAATTTCTAGGTTATAAAAGTAGACATTTTGTTTTTTTTCTCTTCAAGGTTGGCGACTGTTCCGAAATATGTATGATAATGTTATCAAAGTTGACAATTTCAATTGTCAAATTATTGTTTCTTTTTTGGGTTACGTTTATTTAGTGCAAAATTATGGTAAAAATCAAGGAATATTGGTGAGTCAATAAGTAATAGATTTTTGAAATTTGACATCAATACGTTTTAGGTTAGAATTATTTTAGGTTGGCAACAATTCAGAAATTAATTAGCTCTGATGGTAACTTAACAAAATTTTCAAACAGATGACTCGTTTAATTTGTCAAATTTTTGTTTATTTTTGGGTTATGTTTATTCAGTGCGAATTTGGAAACAGGTTAATTAATTTGACATCATCAATACATTTTAGGTTAGAATTATTTTAGGTTGGCGACAATTCAGAAATTGATTTGCTCTGTTGGTAACATAACAAAATTTTCAAAGAGCTGACTTTGTCAATTGTCAATTATTTGTCATTTTTTTTTTGTTTGCTTTTAGGGTTATGTTTATTTAGTGCGAAATTATAGTAAAAGTATTGGAAAATAGGTAAATCAATACCAATCAAATCAGTTCTTTGACATTTCAATTAACTTTTAGGTTAGAATCATTTAAAGCGAAGATTTTTTTACATTTTTGGTTGGTAGAAATTCAGAAATTCGTTTGCTGTTTATCACATAAAATGTTTCTTTAAACAGTTGGCATTGCGATTCATTGAAACAAATTGTTTTCAGAGTGATGTTTCTTTCGCGGATATCAATTAGAAAAAATTATGAAGAAAAGTCTCAGAAAATTGGTAAATAAATACGTTTCAAATCAGTTCTTTGACATTTCAATTAACTTTTAGGTTAGAATCATTTGATGTAAAGAATTTTTTTTATTTCAGGTTGGTGACAATTCAGAAATTCGTTTCCTGTTTATCACACACATATAATTTTTCTTTAAACAGTTGGCAAAAACAGTTGTGATTCATTGAAACAAATTCTTTGCAGTGATGTTTCTTTCGCGGATATCAATTGGAAAAATTATGAAGAAAAGTCTCGGAAAATAGGTAAGTCAACACGTTTCAGAGATTATTCTAAATTCGCTTTGCGGATTTACAAAGTATATTTAGATTAAACGCACATTATTATCAAAAAAAAACATATTAACAAAATAACAAATTGACATTAACAATGACATTTATTTCCATGGCTCACCAGTTTTAATTGATGACAAATTTGTTTAATCTCAGCAGTTAAATTCTTAATTATTTGTTATTATGATTTCAACAATTAATCAGATTATATCAGAAAATTGACAAATTTACATACAAAATTGACGTTTTTTTAATCTTTTTTTTGTATAAATTGCAGTTAATTTTTTTGTAACAATTCTAATTCGATTTCTTCTTTTGTATAAACTACAGTTATTTCTTTTTAATTATACTAATTCGATGCGTGGAAAACGTTTGATTACGCAACTGGAACTGAAGTGGATACGGAAGACTGGTGTGAGTAAATAAAGAAAAATCCTTCAAACAATTTTCGTATCACATGCAAAAAGCAGACTCCTAATCGCCTATCGGATTACTCGCGCTAATGGTGTATCGCGTTACGCAAACTGAAGTTATGCAATGGGAACGTTTTTGAGGAAACGATAGTTTTTGCTTTATAATTTCAGTTTCAATTTTTCGATTTTTATTTAACTTTATTATTATAGAGATTAACTAATTAATAGCGTGAAATCGTACATTTCTGTAGATTAATTTTATTCAATTTCACTTGGCGAAATGAAGTGAATGCAATGCTTTTTGTTACGTAATTCGTAACGTTATGAAAATTATCCTATTCGACTCACATATTTTGATTAGATTTAGTGTAAAACTAGTACAGATTTAATAGAAATAAAACTTGAATTGTTGGATAATGAGATGAAAATTGTGGATATTTGTATTCGCATAAAGCAGACCGATTTGGGTCAAATCTGCTGCGTTACGTTTACTTATTTTCTTCACTTTTCGAAGGTCGTCGGATGCAGACGTTTTGAAGACTTACCGCCGCCGCTCTTGTAGCAAAGATAGGGAAATCGCCAGACGGAACCCAAACCGACGCTGTAGCCGACGCACGCCAAAACGAACTGCAATTTGTTGGACCATTGCTGCCTCTTGGGTTTCATGTAGATCTCGTCGCCGTCGCCCGAACCGTCGCAGCTGTCGTCGTAGAGGTATTCTTCAGGTGGTCTGCAAGACAAAAACGGAGAAGAATGAAGGTAAATGAATTAGTTTTACCGTTTAAATACTCATGACGTATATATTCGTCATGCGTTGCTCTTATGACGAATATATTCGCATCATGATTAATGAACAAAAATAGGATATATACAATAATAAGTATAAGATTATGAATTAGTCATAGTAATTAATCAAGTAATCAATGTTTATAAACGAAAATTATCAATATTTACTTAACAAATTTTGGTTCGCTTATCTAAGGAATCGGTTATTTTCGATATTATACTTGAAACTTGAAGAATTCAATTGTGAATTGTAAATCTCGTGCATGACTTTGTCTTGTTTGTTTGGTGCCTACGCGTATTTACAACAAAACCTATACGAAATTATGAATATTTAAATGAGTTAGTTTTTTTTTTTTCGTTGTAGTCGGCTCATTTATTAATTAGCATTCGATGATAAATCTTTTTAGGTGTCGCATTAAATGCGAATCGGGTCTCTTGTTATGTTAAACGGCTGAATAATTCATTCGGTCGAGCGTGGAAGAAGTCAAGGAAGAGAGAGAAAAAAAAAATGTGTAATGCGGACATTTGTTCTACGACGAATAACATTTGCATTCAGATGATCGCAGCCTACTTATCGGTAATAATAATAAGTGATATGATGCAATTTGTACTAATTCATTAATCATTGCTTGAAAAAATTAACGCTGTTTGCTAATTGTTATTTATGAAAATTGTTAAAATTTAATCGGTTAATAAGTTTTTTTTACGCATTCGCCATCTGTCGGTAAACATGGATAAGTTAAATGACGTATTTGAATAAGTAAACAAATCTTGACGCCATTGTTATTGCAATAATACCAACTCATTTTGTAATTAGAAGAAAAAATAACTAATCAAAAACAGTAATTAATTGAATGCGTTTATATATTCATTACAGTTGGATTCAGATGATCGTAGCCTACTTGACATAATTAACGCTGATTACGTTTTGTAATTTATGAAAATTGTTAAAATTTAATCGGTTAATAAGATTTTTTTATGCATTTTACGCATTCGCCATCTATCGGTAAACATGGATAAGTTAAATGACGTATTTGAATAAGTAAACAAATCTTGATGCCTTTGTTGTTGCAATAGTACCAACTAATATTGTAATTAGAAGAAAAGAAAACTAATTCATTGAATGCGTTTTACATTCAATACAGTTGCATACAGATGACAGTTGCCTACTTGACACACTTAACGCTAATTACTTCTTGTAATTTATGAAAATTGTTTAATATTTAATCAGTTAATCGGATTTGTTTCTAGGTTTTACTCATACGCCATCTATCGGTAAACATGGATAAGTTAAATGACATAGTTGAATAGTAAACAAATCTTGACGCCATTGTTGTTGCTATAGTACCAACTAATGACTAATCAAAAACACTAATTAATTGAATGCGTTTATACTCAAATTACAGTTGTATTCAGATGATCGTAGCCTACTTCACACAATTAACGCTAATTAGTTTTTGTAATTGATGTAATTTGTTATAAATATTTAGTCAGTTGATTGGATTTTCTCTACGTTTTACTCATACGCCATCTATCGTCGAACATGAGTATGTTAAATGACATAATTTAATAGTAAACAAATCTTGATGCCATTGTTATTGCAATTGTACCAACTAATGTTGTAATTAGAAAAAAAAAACTAGTCAAAAACAATTTATAAAAATTGTTAAAGATTTAATCAGTTAATTGGATTTTTTCTACGTTTTACTCATTCGCCTTCTATCGTCAAACATGTATAAGTTAAATGACGTATTTGAATTAGTAAACAAATTTTGACGTCATTGTTATTGCAATTGTACCAACTAATGTTGTAAATTAGAAAAAAAAATACTAATCAAAAACACTAATTAATGCGTTTATATTCAACTTACAGTTGCATTCAGATGATCGTAGCCTACTTGACACAATTAACGCTGATTACTTTTTTTAATTTATGAAAATTGTTTAAGATTTAATCAGTTAATTGGATTTTCTCTACGTTTTACTCATTCGCCATCTATCATCAAACATGGACAAGTTAAATAACAAAGTTGAATAAGTAAACAAATCTTGATGCCATTGTTATTGCAATAGTACCAACTCATTTTGTAATTAGAAGAAAAAAAAACTAATTAATTGAATGCGTTTCTACATTCATTACATTTGCATTCAGAGCCTACTTGACACAATTAACGCTGATTAATTTTTGTAAATTATAAAAATTGTTTAAGATTTAATCAGTTAATTGGTTTTGTTTCTACGTTTTACTCATACGCCATCTATCGTCAAACATGGGTATGTTAAATGACATAGTTTAATAGTAAACAAATTTTGACGTTATTGTTATTGCAATGGTACCAACTAATGTTGAAAATTAGAAAAAAAAATACTAATCAAAAACACTAATTAATTGAAAGCGTTTATACTGAAATTACAGTTGTATTCAGATGATCGTAGCCTACTTGACACAATTAACGCTAATTACTTTTTTTAATTTATGGAAATTGTTTAAGATTCAATCAGTTAATTGGATTTTTTTCTCTACATTTTACTCATTCGCCATCTATCGTCAAACATGGATAAGTTAAATGACATAGTTGAGTAGTAAACAAATCTTGACGCCATCATTATTGCAATAGTACCAACTAATGTTTTAAATTAGAAAAAAATTATTAATCAAAAACACTAATTAATTGAAAGCGTTTACACTGAAATTAGAGTTGACCTACTTCAGACAATTAACGCTAATTCGTTTTTGTAATTTATGTATTTTTTTAAATATTTAGTCAGTTGATTGGATTTTTTTCTACGTTTTACTCATTCGCCATCTATCGTCAAACGTGGATAAGTTAAATGACAAAGTTGAATAAGTAAACAAATCTCGATGCCATTGTTATTGCAATAGTACCAACTAATGTTGTAATTAGAAGAAAAAAACTAATCAAAAACACTAATTAATTGAATGTGTTTATACTAAAATTGTGCTTACTTCACAAAATTAACGCTAATTACTTTTTGTAAATTATGTATTTTTTTTTGATATTTAGTCAGTTTAGAAGAAAAAACTAATCAAAAACACTAATTAATTGAATGCGTTTATACTAAAATTACAGTTGCATTCAGATGATCGTAGCCTACTTGACACAATTAACGCTGTTTACTAATTGTAATTTATGAAAATTGTTAAAATTTAATGGGTTAATAAGATTTTTTATGTATTTTATGCAATCGCCATCTATCGGTAAATGACGTATTTGAATAAGTAAACAAATATTGACGCCATTGTTGTTGCAATAGTACCAACTAATGTTGTAAATTAGAAGAAAAAATAACTAATCAAAAACAGTAATTAATTGAATGCGTTTATATATTCTTTACAGTTGGATTCAGATGATCGTAGCCTACTTGACATAATTAACGCTAATTAATTTTCGTAATTTATGTAATTTGTTATAAAATTTAGTCAGTTGATTTGATTTGTTTCTACGTTTTACTTATACGCCATCTATCGGTAAACATGGATAAGTTAAATGACGTATTTGAATAAGTAAACAAATCTTGACGCCATTGTTGTTGCAATGGTACCAACTAATGTTGTTAATTTAGAAGAAAGAAAAAAACTAATGAAAAATATGAATTCCATTAATTGAATGCGATCATCGTTTCGCAATTTTAATAACCGCTGTTCATTACATACAAATGCACGACATCCGTTCGCTATCGGAATCATCGTTGTTTGTTTGTTGTTGATGAATTAATGAATGAATGAATGTATGAAATCGTCATTGCTTATAATAATTTCCGGCCAAAGAATAATTACGATGAAATCGGTCATAAATGTTGTGTTATAATGTTGAAATGTATGAATGGAATGAGTGATACAGGTGTGAATGAATGAATGAATGAATTTGACAATTAAATGTTTTGGCTTTGAAAAAAAAAAACAAAAAAAGTAACAGAAACAACAATAAAAAAAAAACGACAATCTAAATTGATACGACTAGTGTGCTTTGACTAATGAGGAAATAATGGAAACAAAAAAGAGAGGTGTTTGTGCAAATTGATATTTACGTGATTTTCGTGCATTGTTTGCATTAATATCCGGGAAGGTGTGTGTATCACGTTTTTGTTTTTTTTTTGTTTCATATTTTTTGTTTTGTTTTTTAATTGGTTGATTCTGAACAAAGCTTTGAAATTGCCGAAATTGATCAGTTTTTGTTTTCGTCCTCAATTTTGTTTATTGCAATGCTTACTAGATTTTTTAAAATTATTTTGAGGATGGTGGAAAAAGTAATTGAAAATTCGACGTATTTCAGTTATTAATTAACATTACGTAACGGTTGTAGTATCAATAGACGCGTAATTTAAGAGCATTTCTGATGTAGTTATGAAAATTTGTAAATTATTTATAGTTTTTGTGTTATCCATTTGTTTTTGTTGTTGAAAAATTATGTAAATGTAAATTATGTAAATGTGAAATCTTAGTTGAAAGATCTTTAATTTGAGTGTTCGATGATCGAATTAGCGTGCATAGTTTTTAAGTAATTAAACAAAAGGTGTGGACGTGAAAAAAAAAACGAATCGTAAAATCGTGATACCTTAGCTAAGAAATTAACGTTACGTAACCATGGTTATATCAAACGTTGCGCAATTAGAGGCGTATTCTTATGTAATTAAGTGTAAAGCTTTGAACAGCAATACCTCGAATAGTGCGGATTCGCTATAGTGCGGTTTGAAAATTTTCAAAACTAAATAAATTCTAAAAACTAATTTATTTTATTAACACACAATTATGTTTTATATACAAATTATGATTGAAAATCCGGTTTTAATGAGTTTATTTTGCATTTATTAACGTTTTTTTTTTGTTATCTAGTAATTGAGTAATAATATTTAAACAAAAATTTTTGTAATCTTTCTGTTACAAGGATTTCCAGACAAGCGAATTTTCAGACAAACAGACTTAGTTATTAAGGAAAGTGAAGTGAATGGAATAATGGTAACGTGTAAAGAGGAAAATTGGCACGTTTCCCACCTTCAATTTTTCCTTTC